TAGATGCATCAAAATAGTAATTTCGGTCATCAAAGCACATAGAAGTATAGGTCCGTCGCTTCGCTCCGGCCAATAAAAATTTATAAAAAATTGGTTTGTAGCTTAGGTTGATATTAACGAGGTTGATATTAACGGGGGTAACCTATTTACGCTTTTTTTTTTCTCGAAGCTCAAATCTTTATTAACATTAATACGATTAATGTTTGTAATATTGAGATTGAAATTCAAAAATTGACATAACCTGTCCTTTCTATGTGTATTTGCTAATACGTATGATTAATTCATAATTAATTCGATCATAAGATATTTGTTTTTATCGATTTTCTGTGAACATAGAACAGTTACCAACCTAAAAAATTTCACTGGCCAATCAGATTTCAAGACCAGGTGTGACGCAGAAGAAACGCGAAAAATCAAAACAAACCAAAAAATCAACATTTTATTTATGAAATCACCTTCTGCGCACTAACAAAAAGTTTTCCTTGTGAAATTTTGGTACTACTAGAGCTCTTTCTAACCTAGCTTAATAACAAAACCTACGGTAATCCTAATCTAACAGCGAAAAACAAAAATACCCAAATCCCTAACCCTAACGCTGGTAGCAAAATTTTTTTATAGTGGTGATGCTAGAGATCTTATTACCATACCGTATTTTGCCTTGTAGAGTACCCCCTGGTTGACAATACCTAGAGATGGGCATTATGCAGCATGGTGCTTAATCGTCACATAAAATAATTTATGTAAAAAATTAACATCCGATGTGATTTTCATAATTTTAATCATGTAACAATTTGTAAGAAACGCGAGTATACTAAACAAATATGACATATATAAATAAATCGGTTTTATAATATATGATTTTTGTACAAGACCCAGTATATCCGGGAGGTATAAATCAAAAAGAAACCTGTGTAGATTGTAAGAGACCTTATGACAAATACGGTATGTAGGTAAAATGACAGCCCAATTCATTGCTTACGTCATTTTTTCGAATATTTGTAATTGTTAGTAAGAATCACCAAGAGTTCTCTATCCATAATATTTTCCAATTACCTCATACGTACGTATGTACTGTACGTACAGTACGTACGTACGTACGTTTATTGGAACGTCCAAACCGATGAAAATCGGGTTTACACGTAACATCTGAAAACCGGTTCAAACTCCAAGTTAAATTACCAAAGATAAAGAATTTCGATAAAGAATTTCGATATGTACGTAAAATCTCTGAAAAAAAATTTTTATGAAAATTACGATTTTCATAATGACTTTATTATAAAGTCAAGCACTTAAAACATAACAGAGATGAAATGTTTTTTTTAAAAGTAATTATGTATGAATTTTCATATTTTTTTTTTTTAGGATATTGCTTAATCAATTATTTGATTAAACTAATAATTTACGTTAAAAATCATCATCAAAAAAGTAAAAATAATAATAATAATAATAATTAAACGACTTGACTTCTATACTCTGCTTTTAAAGTATCTATTAATGCTTTTCTACCTTTAAGATCAAACATCTTTTTTACTTTTTTTATTAACCTATCATCATCTGTTATAACTAATGTTGTCGATAACATTATCATCGTATGTTCAAATGATGACGTTGTTAGAGTTGCTATTATTATGTTTTTTTTTTTTTGTTAAGAATAAATAAATAAAAAATAATATACGTATAAAATAAATATACGTATCGTATAATTATTATATATATATATTTTTTAATAAAATAAAAAAAAATTAATATATGTATATTTTATAGAAAAGATACAAATTTTTTTTAAAAAAAAAATTTTCAAATAAACCCGATCACCCGATCGAATCGATGTACATACCTTTATGATATTTTAATAAAGCAACCGCGACAAAGTAAAGTATGTCAAATCCATATAACATTAATAAATCCCAAATTCTAAGCACAGTATGATGAGGTACAACATCGCTTGTAAATAAAGTTATGTACCATCTTGTTGCATATGCGGTAGTTGATAATTGTATCTTATTCTTTGATAAAAAATTAAATCAATAATAAATAAGAAATAAGTAAATAAAAAATCAGTAAGAAGAAATTGTAGAAAAATAAAAGTTAATAAATATATATATATATATACTTACGAATTGGGTGGCGATTTTGGGAGCATATTTTAACAATAACTTTTCTTGAACATAAAAACTTTCCAATAATGCAGGAAATCCAGGTATAAACAAGTTATGTAGATTACATTTTGTGAATAATTTTGTCAACATTATAAATGCGCACTAACTCGAAGGAAAACAAAAAATATAAATATAAATAAGTTGTATGTATTTCATTTTTGACGACCCGTATTGTCGCGAAATAACGCGCAGGGGCGAATTTCGGCCGAAATTAGACTTGATTCGGGCCATTATTCTAAATAATACCCATGCCCGTTATTTCGCGAAAATACGGTAATGAAAGATAATTTACAAACCTCTTCAGTATAATACATTAACAAAATTGTTACAATATTTGTCATTCCTTGACAATAACCGATTTGTGTATTATAATTTGAAAATGCGCGAAGTATGTTAAATAAGGCTCTTTGTCTATTCAACATAATGAAAGGAGATATTAATAAAATTAGCTAATAACATTGAAGTTAATAACAATGAAGTTAGTAATTTTGAATGGTTATCATCCACGTACCCAGGGCCATATCTAGATCGAAACATAATATGAGAATGTAAAGTACGTGGAATATCCAGATCAATTTGTTTTTCGTGTTGCGAAGGTAACGTTAATAACATCTTTAATTATAAATAAAAATTAGTGTAAAATAAACAATAAATTAAAAAATAAATTATGATAAAAAAAAAAAAACTCTTAAATTTATATAAATTTAATAATTTACCTCATATGTACGTTGTAAGTTATCATCGAATTCAGATTCGGCATCACCATTCGTAACTAAAAAATACCTATATGTAATTATACAAATAAAAATTTGCCAAATTGTTTGAAAAAATTTTAACCATATTACACGATTATAAATAATTACCAAACAGGATGCCTCCAAGAATCAGGAATACCTTTATAAATCCGACTATAAAACTAATAAGAATAATAATAAATAAATTATTAACTATGATTAATATTATTACTAAATATTATTATTGAATATTATAATAATTTTATAATTATCAATTGTTTATCAATTGTTTATCAATTCAATTATTATTGATAATTATTGATAATAGAGATAATTAAAATACCTTTTTATCCCAAGGAAAAACATAACTACTACAACCAAATTTTCCGGATTTTTTAACAAATTTATTTGAAGAAACCCATAAAGCCCACTTTAATGATCTTTTAGTCTCTTTTTTTTCAAGTCTTTTTTAATCGAGAAAAAAAATAAATTATTTATTCAAATAATCAAGATAATATTAAGGAAACATATATAGTATTGACTAACCTTAATTCATGAGGTGATAAGGGTGGAGCAGGGCTCTTTCCGTCTGATGTTATAAATCCATACCTATATTCATGATAAAAAATAATAATTATTAATATAATATAATAATAATTATAATTATAATAATAATTATAATAACAATAATAATTATTATTATTTATTTACTATGATTATTATTATTATTGTTATTATAATTATTATTTAATAATCTTGATATAAACACACCTATCAACATTTGAACTATATTGATCAAAAATCATATCATCCTTGGGTAAAACCAATTTCCAACGTTCATATATGGTTTTAATATCATCATCATTTCCGGAATTTGAACTTCCAAAGGTTGTACTTTTAGAATGATGAAGGCCAGAATTACTACTATGCCATCTTCTTAAATGACCATTATTTAGACCAGCACTTTGAGTTCGAGAATGAAATTGATAGGTATTACGAGATTTTCTTGGAGTATTCGAAGTACCATTTAATGGAGGTGTGGATAAAGGATTTTCAGGTATTGGAGGAATAGAGGAAAAAAAATCAATTGATTGAGAAATTGGAGGAGTTGAATCCGTTATAGAAGAGGAAGTAGTAGTTGAAAACGGATCAATTGATTGAGAAATTGGAGGGGAAGATTGAGAAATTGGAGGAGGAGTTGATTCAGATATAGAAGAAGAAGTAGAAGAAAAAATTGAACCACTTGTCCCTATATCAATACCGGCGGTATTACTTGAACTTGATATAACACCACTAGATTCGCTTAAATTAAAAATACCACCATTATTTAAATGATATAAATTGGATACATCACCACCTGAATCACTTAAACTAAATGCTTTTTCATTTTCAGGAGATTCTAAAATGTCTTGAAAATCCTTCTTATAATGATTATAAGAATTTTTTGAATCATTATTTATAGCGGAGGATTTGGTAACGGTTGAAGAAGTAGTTTTATGATGAAAATTTTTAAAAGTTGGTATACGAGAATTAGGAATTTGAGAATTTTGAATTCTGGATGATGACGTTATTAACGAAGAAGTTTGGAAGATTGGATTTGTTGAAGATGTTGGTGGTGGCTGTTGAACCATTGGTGTTACTATTGGTGTAATAGTATCTTGAAGCGGTGAAGTTGAAGTTTCTTTTGTTACATTTTCACTTAATGATTTGTTTTGTCCAACTGATTCGAATGACATTTTTTTTTTTTTATATAATAATATAATTTGTGAAAATAAAAAAAAAAGAGAGAAGAAAAAAAAAAAATTTATCGGTAATCGATGAAATTTTATATTTATAAATAATGATTGATTGATATAATGATATATTTACAAAAAAAAAAAAAAAAGAAAGAAAAGTTTATACGTTTAAATTCTAAAGGATATATACAAATATATATATTCAAATATAATCAAATGTGTTCAAATGTATTTAAAGATGAATAAAAAATATTTCGAAATTTAATGAGAAAAAAAAAAAAAAATTATTTATTCACTTTCTTTTTGTCTTTTGATTAAAACGAAGAAAAAAAATTAAGAACCCGCGTGACCAAGACGAAGAACCATAAATATTTCGGAAAAAATGTAAATACGTGCGTACGTACGTACGTAGGTTTGATAACCGCTAATTGTTAGGAAAACATCTATAATTATCGTTATATTATAAACCAGTTGTTGGAATAAATACAATGCTTGTATAACGATAAGCTAATTGTAATAATTGTACGTACGTACGTAAATAATTGAAGTTATATCGTTATTATGGAAGTTATTATGGATACATATAAATTATATGAATAAATTATATGATATAGGAAATATAAAGAGCATCACGAGAGAGTTCGAAAGAAAAATAGAAGTTTTCTAAAAATAAGTTAGCAGTACATTACGTATTAATACATGATATATAGCGTACAATAACAAAAAATCATGTGTAACTTGCATTTCAAAATATAAATGGTAAATCGGACATATTTGACTAAGTAATACGAAAGAGACTCGGATACAAATTTTATTTTTTTTTCCTTTTTCATTAGATAAATTTCACATTTACACGTGAAACAAGAAATATGAAGTTGTTAGCTTTTTTCTTCGGAATAAGAATGGGGAACATATAATGACATACGTATAATGATTTACGTATACGTATTTCATGATACCCGTTCAAAGAGAGCAAAAAATAGAAAATAAAAGAAAATGAATAATAAAACATGATAAAGTACAGTACATGATAAAATACATGATAAAATACATGATAAAATACGTGATAAATACGTGATAAATACGTGATAAATACGTGATGATAAAATATATGATAAATACGTGATAAAAAATAAATACGTGATAAGAGATCAATCAAACATTAAAGCAACATTATTTTTTGATATAAATTTTTATTTGAAGGACTTTAATTAGATATAACAAATATGTAATGCAAATAAAGAAATGAAAAATTGTAAC